ACCCATCTATCTATCGATCTATCAATCATCTATTGGTATTTTAATTCTCAAAAGAGACAGTCTTTGTAGAAAGTTTAAAAAAATAACATCATAGAGAAAAAATAATTCATCTATTGTCTACAACTTAGAGACATTACTGAAAATTTTTTTGCATATATTCATCCAGTATTTTTTTTTTGGTCTAGCTCTACATACACATATGTCTTTTATAACAGATATTTTGTTTATTAATATTAAATAAACATTTTTCTATGTCATTAAACTTTATAGTTCTGCAAAAAAAAAAAATATCTCCTTTGCAGTTGAAAAATCAATATAAAACTTTTTGGAAAAAAGAAAAATTACCCACTACGACCCTGACAAAACCATTTTCAACTTATTTATTTTTGTACGCTGAACTCCCTAGACCTGTACTCATGTGTTCAGAATTGTATCTGGTGTGCTCACAGCACAGACGTAGGTCTATTGGTATTTGGCTCTATCCTTTCAACGTCCTGTTGTAGAAGGTTTGCCACATTGATATTTGTCCTCACATTTGTCATTTTTGATGACAGCACTATACTTCAGTGCATTAACGTAGCTTAATTTACCTGATCACCTCCTTGCTATTAGATAACTGAATTGTTCCATTTTAATTTTTTTGCCATTACAAGTAACACTGCAGGGAACATTTACTTGTTTACATCCTTGGCTGGATCCCAGTAGGGTATCACTGGGTCTAAGTGTGTGAACAAGTTCGCAGGTTTTACTTCAAACTGTGTGATTGTTGTCTTTCCCAAAGAGTCTCGACTAATAGTTTAGGCACAAAATGACTCGGTTTAATTCGCAGAATGAACAGGCTCTTAACAGGAAGAATTCGAAGACGGTTTATAACTGACTTACATCTAACCAGGCTCAGGTGGCTTCCCTTGTCACAGTGGCTTTGTCTTCTCGAGGACCTATTATGTGCTTGCTGCTAGCTTCCATCGGCAAATTGAGAGTGTTCCTTTCCCTAAACACCACGTGGATGGCGTGTCCTTCCCTGAGCATCGACTTAGTATATTGGGGAAAGGATTGTTCTGTCAGTTAGCCAGGCAACTGGATTGGTCTCCCAGAGTCCCCAGAGCACAACCATCTGGGCTGCCAGCTGCATTAACGGGCCCTCCGAGTTCTAGACATAGCGGGAGGGTGTCTGGAAAGAGCTGGAGTGGGAGTCTGGCCTTACCCCATCACTGGATTTTGACTGGGACTTCAGTAAATCCTAGACCTGTTCTTTCATCTAAGGGGGCACTTAAGGAATGTGTGGGCACTTGAAAAATTGTAAAGCTTAATATGTGTGTACAGGATAGCTATTGTCTATTTTAACTTCTTTAGACAATTTCCATTTCTTTTAGGCTTGGTGGCAGGTGCGAGTCTGAAAAATCTGGAGCCATGCGTTCAGCGATTGTCATCCCGGGATTGTGTGGGGGACTCTGTCGGTTTCTTTCTCTGGGCACTGAGCTGGAATTGACAGAGACCATTGGGTCATTTAGTCCATTCTCCTGCCTCTACGAGGACTGCCTCTTAACCATCCTTGGCAGATGAATTTCTGTTTGATTTGAGAGTCCTCTAGCAAAAGGGATTTTTTTCCTCTGGAGGCTAGTCTAACAAGTTCCATCATCAAAAATTCTTTCTTCTGCCACTCCTAATTCCCTCCTGCTTCAGTCCAAGTCCATGTCCACTCGATGTCCTTTCTGGAGGTATACACACTTCGTCCGCATCTTGCCCCGATAGTCCTCATCCCCAAAGGCTGGTGGTCGGCTCTTTTCCTTTTGGTTATGGGACCATGTTTGAGGCATAGCAGGGGCTGTGGTTCCCTCCAGACCCTCTCTCGGGTCTGCACTCCCCTTAATCAGAGGCTAAATGTTGTATGGACACTGGGAGAGGGGAAGGTGGGGGATTTTGCCAGCGAGTGGGAGGGTGGATGCTGTGGGCACTTTTAGAATGTTCTGCACGTAGGCGTAGGGTGTGGTCATTTCTCAGTGGTTTGCATCAGTGGATCAAATAGTCACTCATCTTCTATCCATCCAAGGGACTGTGGTGTGGCGAAAGTCTAGAACAATTAGGGGGGGACCTTAAAACAAAAAGATTCCACTGGATTCTGGAAAAATCACTAGATTATGATGAATGAAAGGCCTTTGCAGCCTGCAGGGGCCTCAGGGAGCTGGCTATTGTGTCTCATGACGAAACCTGAGAGGTGAGGCTGTGACTTCCAAGGATGAGAGGTTATTCGCAGAGGGCAGGTGGCCAAAGCT